CAAATTGACAACAAAAAATGAACAAAATAACTTAACACAAAGCTGTGACTGTAATATAGAGCTGCTATTAGTACAATAAATTTTTAAAACTATGGAATACTAGTCGCAGCACAAAACCGTTACTGTAATAATTACCATAACAATTCGTTTGGTTGCTGATGCGTTGTTATGCTGCCTAGTTTAAACTTTTTAAGTTCTACAGAATTAATCTTAGAAATTTATTAGTTGTACAATGCTAAACAGACAATGAAAATATAATACTCGATCAATCACTTTAGTATTTGTGACTGTTTACAGTATTTCTTGATACTGATGGTTGTTCTTGGATTGGAAATGACCGCTGCAGTAATGGTGAACGCAAATCGTGATCAGTATCGAAAAACTGTTGATAAGGAATTGTTAACGATGATCCAAAAAGAATATGCACAATATCCACAAAAGGCAGCAATTGTGGATGAAATTCAATCATCAGTAAGTGTTCGCTGTATATGTTTGCTGTCATTTTTTGCTGACATAATAGAAAATCAAACATAATACATGTTGTTCTCTTTTTCTTCCTTTTTTTTGCATTATTACAACTAAAATGATAGTTATTTTAAAAATGTTAGTTATTATTTTATACCAACAATAGGATCAATTTATTTTAAAGCTTTTAACAACAATGGCAATAAAATAAAAAAAAAAAATGTTTTCATTTTTTTTTTGGCTTGTTAGTAAGCTTTACACCTGCTGTTGTGTTGTTGCTTTGGTGAAACATTTTTATAGAATTTTTTTTATATGATAAACAGATGAATAATCATCAAAAATGGTTTTAGTTGATGTTTTAAAAACCATATTGATCTTTGAGCTTTTTTTTTAAAACTAACTCAGTTTTTAACAAATGCTATCAAAGAATGAAAAATCGCAACGTAAATTTTATGCTTTTCTTTTTTTTTCTTTACAATAATACAGTTTTTTAATTGTGGAAAAATTAAATTTTTAGGTTTACTGTTTTAACAATTTTTTGCACATAAATTTTAGATTTTAAGTCACAAGTTTTTTTTTTTTTTTTAAGAAAACGGTGGTGCTAAGAACTGAAACAATTTTAATATTAAACTGAAGCAGTAATTATATTAAAAAAATCTTTAATGACATCGCAATAGAACACATTTGCTTTAAATTTTCTAAGCTGTATATTTACGCCATTCTTTCACTGTGGATTAACAAAATTTTTATTGAGGTTTACAGCTTTGTCTGTTACCACAAATTTTTTAATAACTGAACAGTGATTCACCGATATTCTATTTCAGATTTTACACCAAATAACCACAGATGTGATAAATCTAAAAATAATTGACTACTGTAGTGGATTTAGTTAAGTCTTTTCCGTACAGTAAGCAATACAGTCGTTTATTGGGTTTCAAATATTTGCACACAAAAGTGTTCAGCAACACAAAACTGTTTAGCGGTTTCAGTCATATTACAATGAAAGATTTGCCCAAAAATTGACTCAAAATATTTGACAACAAGTAAGAAAACTTTTTTGCTGTTTTACTGAAAATATGCTACCAAAAAGATGTGAAAAAAACACCAATATAGGTAAAAGGTTTTTAAACAAACGTATCAAAACACAAATAAATTTTTTTCTTATTTTTTTGTCTTTTTTTTTCCTTTTTGCTTTAATTTATTTTTTTGACTAGTTCTTGAACCAAAAATATTTACCATCTTTTTTGGTAGTTTTAAAGTAGCTTTTATCTTTTTTCTATCGCTTAATGTTAAATGGATATAGACAAAAACTAAAAATCAATTCTGTAACAACACCTACTGAGGAGTAAAAATTACCGCAACAAACTGTATCTGTTCATAAACAGTTACCTTTTTCTTTAAATTTTGTTTGTTTATTTATCAACAAAATGATGATAACCTTTTTTTTGGATTATTATATTAAAAATTAACTTTTATAAAGGAAAACATTGATTTGTTGTTGTTGTTTTTAAAGTGTTGAAATATTTCTCAACAATTCTTCATTAAGACTAAAAAATTTTGGAAAAATAAAGTGGAAGATAAAAAAGGAAAGGTGATAGAGGAGAAAAAACGAAAGATAATGACGGTGACGCTGATAATGGTGATGGTGGCGGTATCGATGATACTGGCATTCTTAATGATGATAAATTGATCAGTGTTTTTTTTTTTTTGTTATTTTGCAAATAATCGGAACATTTTTCACAGTAATAATCAAATAAATTTTGATAATCACTTCGATTAGAATGAAAAATTGCACTAATTGTTCATCAAAATTGATTATATTTTGCTCAAGCAAAATTTTTGAGTAACGCCTCACCATGTACACGTAGAAAAAACAATGTACACGTAAAATGAAGCTAAATATATCGGTTGTTGTCTTCATCAATACCATCATCGTCGTCCTTATATCAAACTCTATCGTCATCAATTGTCACTGTCAATGATCAAAAATTGATGAGCAGAGAAGGGGAAAAATTTCTTTCATTTAATCGATCTTTTTTCTTTCCTTCTCATTTTAGCTACAATGCTGTGGTGTAAAATCGTATAGCGATTGGTTGGCGTCAACCTATTCAACCAACGATCCAGAAAGTGCCGAAGTTGGTATCGGAGCGTTGGAAGTTGGTCGGGTACCAAAATCATGTTGCAATGAACTTGGTTTAATGGAATATCCGAGTAATTGTGGCGTAAGCTTCAGCCAACAACCTCTTATCACCTATAAACGTTTCTTGCACGAACAAGTTAGTGTACAGCTATAATTTCTTATTTCAAGTTTTCTGGTTTTTTGTTTTTTTTTTTTTTTTCATTTATGTTCTTTGAACTGCATCACTGACGAAGACGTATCAACGCTGCCACGACACCGCTAGAACAACCTTTCAGCAATAGGTCGCTTGCTTGTTGTTTAACAGTTAGTTAGTTATTGGCTGTAAACATCAATGCATTTTATTGGTAAAACTGTTCAAACAGATTCATATTAAACACTGTTCAGGCTACAACAACTTATACATTTTTTCCTATTTATTTGGCAAAAAAAGTAACATTTCTAATTTTTTTGATTTTTTTTTTTATTAGATGGAGGAAAAACGGTGAACTTTTTTTATCTTCAGTGAAATGACTGAACACTCAAATTTTTATTGCACAGCTAAGTGAGAAGCTTTTTTTCTTTTTGTTTCTTTTTTTTTTTTTTTTTTTTTTTTTTTTTT